GAAACTGTACAGCGAATATTTCGAAAGGATTACCGAACTGCATATAAAATGCTAGCAAAAATTTCAGATATGTAAAGAATGAAGTAAATTATATAGAGGTCCGTTTCACCTGTATAAAATAAATAGCAACTAACATAAAATTGTCGAAAAATGTTTAGCCGCTGCCGGGACTCGAACCTACACCTACCGGATAACGAGATCAGATGATCTATTATTTAGTTATCCAAAAGAGATCAACTGTGTGAGGTACACTCACGCTCAAGACTTTCACGGCGTGAAAGATTGCATCTTAATACGCCGATTTCAACATTCATAAAAATAACAGGACGATAAGTTTTCGCCACGAGTTACTAAGTTGCAACGATCTCGTCACGCATGATAAAACATCCTGGAACATTAAGTAACGCGGGCAAGTTGGTGAGGATCGATACTCGTAGAGTCGCTGTAAACATGTTTTGCAACAACGCTCGTCGAACGAGCGCTTCCTGCTACGAATAACGGCGTAGCTGTCCGAAGTTAGCGTTACACGATTCATTATTTAAGCACCGGCCATGGCGGAACGGCTGTGCGGGCAAATTTCAGTTCGTTAAGAACTTCGCAATAATACCGAGCAAAAGCAACCCTCGGTTATTGTTATGTGGTAACTTCGGTAAGCTGTTGCACCGAAGGGGTCAGTAAATGAATTAGTGTATAGGTAGTTCATGGAAGGCGCGTCGGTGAAACCTGACGTATTGTTTGCGGAAGCGAGGAACATTGGGAAATTGATATATAAATGTGGTAGGGCCACGCAACAGTCTTCACTACTGCATTAATTTGCAGGTCCATCCGGGTAAGTACCAGAACCTCACAGAAGACCGGCGTGAAGTGAAAGTGTTATACTGCTTCGTCTGGTGAGTAAGGTAGCCGGGGCCCATTTTATTAAAAGTTGGCAAAGCATCTGTAACCATACTAGTGTTGCAAATGTCAATTGATGCGTTTATCAGTGAACATCCGGTAAACTATATATATATGTAAGTATTACTAGAATTACTAGAATTTATTACCCGTTATAATATGCACAGTTTTTACTTCATAGTTCTACTTTACTGGCCTAGTCATTCTCTTTCTGTTTTACCTAGGGTCAGTATGTAGAGAATGCAGTATAGCATTAAGCTCGCCTTCGTACAATTTTAAGTGCAATAAAGATTAAATAAATAAAAAAATAAACTGCCAGCTCACTTGCCACTTTCTCACATTAAATTAATTAAAAAAAATATGTGTGACATGAATCTCAAGATCGTTGCTATAGGTAATTACTTAGATAAGTCAAGATGGGTAGCTATAGCCGAGTGACTGGGAAGTTAGTTTGATTTGGAGTCCCATCGACGGGCAATATGAAGCAGGCACTAAAATATTTAACTTTCACTTAATTCCTTACTAATATTATAAACGCGGAGGTTTGTATGGATGGATGTTTGTTACTCTTTCACGCAAATACTATGGATTCGATTGAATGGATTCTAATGAAACTTTACAATAATATAGTCGTCAGAATAACACATAGGCTACAATATATATACATATTTTTATGTATATAAATTATTTCTGCCTGAATGTTACGCCTTCAGCAATTCTACGCAGACGTAGTCGCGGGCCGCAGCTAGTACCTTAATACGTACCATTGTAAATACGATTAAAACACAAGATACGTAAATATATGGAATACAATTTAAATTTTCCTGATCTTGAAATGGCGACAAAGTCTGTGTAAAATAATATTTTCGGGAATAATATAAGAATAAGATAAGTTATATATGATATATCCACAGAGATCTTTGGTAAATGAAGTATTCTATATGTCCAGCACATAAGCATTCTCCAACCCATTTTTTTAAATCAGTATGGACGTTTAGGAAGATAGTGGGGACCAAAACAAGAATTTTTCCGCATTTATAATGAGTGAGAATTGGAACCGCTCATATAAATATTCTAAAATTTTCAAGCAGTGGAAGTTCTGACAACTTTCTGTGCAGTTTCGTGGAATAATTAAATGCATATACGTAACAGTGTGAGCTAAGCCATCTATAATATTATCAGCTGTCCGCATGTCCGGGCTAATCCGGTGCCATTGTCTCCGATGTGAGGACGCGGTTGTGACGTCACGGATACGACACGGCCCCGTAACGAGGCTGTATATCACCGAAACTGTAGCGTTTGTCTTCAAAGTTAAAACGTATTTTTATTATGAATAATAATATATATACGAATAAATAATAGCACCCTAAACACAAACTTACGAGCATAGACTTTTTTGTTTACCCGTTATTAGGATATAACATGCCAAGTTATGCAACAAAATGCTAAATGGCTAATTGGCAAATTTCTTGAATTTGCCGTATATTAATTGTAAAGTTGTGCTGGATCACTTACAGTTTGATCAATAAGTGTAAAAAGATAAAATGACTATACTTTTATTGGCCGAGACGGCGAATTTGTCATCACGCCACTGCTGTGTAGTATTCCGTGACCCCAATGAATTTTCTTCGCAAAAATAAAAAAGTAGAAGAGAAAGTATAAAGTAGACTAGGCGAGGGATGACTCGTAGCAGGATCTTCTGTTGCCATAATTAATAACGACAGCTCTTAATCAGTGATGCTCATTAAAGTGTTTATATTGCAAAAAAAATGTTGTTTTTTCCAAAGTCCCCAGTTTAAGTACCGGAGAGATGAATCGGTAACCTTGCTAAATCCACCTATAATGAAAATTTATTAAGCACGCTATTACAATACCCTTTACATAAAATATTTATGTATATACTCGTATATAAATATAAAAAGATAGAACGTATTAAAAGTTATGTTACATCATACAAATAAAAGCTTACCGACTAGAACGAGGGTAAGTAATTACAGTTTATTATGTTTCTGCCGAATTTAAGTGAACGTTTCCATTTCGAGATGCCAATCGATAGACGGAATATTCGTCAACATTATTTTATTCAATGCCTCGATTAAGCTGCTTTTATACAGGCTTCAACGGACGGTTTCAATCAGTGCTGGTGGAGCTTATTTAAGAATCCGTTTCAATGGCAATGTAATATCATTTATATCCGCATCTACACAGCTACACTCCTGAATTTTCGTGCTTTAAAGTAGTTGAAACGAAGTTTTAAAATAGACTTCTTTTATGTGAGAAGACATAGACATAGACATAGACATAGAGTTTATTTTGACAAGCAACACACAGCAACAACATTCAAAATAAATGACATGAAAATAACTTAATTAAAAAATAAAAACAAAACATCGTTTCAAAAAAATACAAATTACAAAGAAAAATAAGTGTAAGTACAAAGTTACAAATATAAAGAAACAAAAAAAGACATAGGAAACCTTTGAGGGAAAAAAATGTAAAGTAAGTGTAATAATGATTGTATTGTACTGTGTGTTTATGTCAAAAATGGTCTCCACTCAGCAAAAAAAATGCGGAGAGTACCGCAATGCTGGTTTTCTGTGGAGCCATTTCGATGAGAAGGTGGCAAACAAGCTGTCGGTTCACCTGATGTTAAGCAATGATGTTCGTTGATATAGATGACGCATGTCCATACTGCGTGGCGTTTAAAATTGTTCCGCTTTACGTTATATGACATGCATAAGTGAATATGACAGACTAGCTTTTCGCCCGCGGCTTCGCTCGCGTTGAAGCCCTTAAATAAATATCTTTCTTTAACCTTTCAACCCTTTACAATATTTATTCTTCAAAAAAGAGCTGTCCGAGCAATCTATAACATCGGAGCCCGGAATACACTCAGAGACCTTTTTAAAGAGATTAGTATACTCACTGTTGCGTCTCAATATATTTATTGTAATATTTTGTATGTTAAAAATAATATTAATAGTTATCTAAAGAATAGTGACAGACATAAACTAAATACTAGAAATAAGGACAAACTAACTACGCCATTGTTTCGTTTACAAAAAGTAAACAGGTCGCTCATGGGGCAAGGTGTGCGCATGTATAATAAAATCCCACAGTCGATATTAAGTCTGCCACTTGATGAATTTAAACGCAAAATTAAAAGTAAACTTATGGCTAAAGCCTATTATTCTATTGCTGAATATCTTGACGACGCCAATGTGTGGGGTTAATACTGTTGATACTCACGTAGGCTAAAACAAGACTATTGTACATGTACTATTTATATTGTAAACTGACTTTTTTTAAAAAAGAGCAACTGTTGAGTTTCTTGCCGGTTTCTTCTCAACAGAAACTGCTTTCCGAACCGGTGGTAACTTACGAACGTGTTAATTTCTTGTAAAATTTTGACGTTTCATAAGAACGCGCAAGCGTCTATGTGAATAAAGATATTTTATTATTATTATATTATTATTTATTATATAAAAACTAAACAAAAAAAGTAATTTCTGTAGTAAATTGTCGAATTTTTCTATATTGATATACTCTAACAAATTATAAATCATATAGTTTATTTATACAAATACATTTTTTTTTTTTTTTTTTTTTTCAAATTACTTTCTTATCAAGTATTTAAGTTGTAAGTAATGTAGACAGGTATTCGCTACCGCACTAGAAACTGGAGATAAAGACTCGAATACTGTAACCTATGGCTGTAATTAAATAACCATTTGTATCACAAGAGATGATGATAATAAATTCTACAGTCCTACGGTCTATAGTCATGCTATGTCCAGCGTGAATGAGAATGATAGTTTTAATTCGCTAAACTTCATGTAATGGACAAAATGCATATGTAATTTAACTAAAGTATAATGATTATGAAGGTAAGTCATTAACAGACTCCAGAATGGAAAAAAAAACACCGAAAGATTTTAAAGCAACATACTTTAATTTTCTTTTGTATAATACAAATCTACTAACACCAAGCACACACTAATTCCAGTCTTACATAGTGTAGGAACTTCACGCTTTAAAACTCAGTTATCGAATTGAACATTCCGTACTTCTTAACATTTTCCTGATATTTCACATTGGAAAAACACATGGCCATATTGGCCATTCGCCATGAGAGGTGCACAGTTTTCTACGTATAGCCGCTATACCGTAACATAGCGTGCAAGCAGCTCTACCATGTGTACAAATATTGTGTACACTACAGTATATGTGTACATATATTTAGCTCTACCATGTGTACATATATTGTGTACACTACAATGTATGTGTACGAGTACATATCTTGTGGTGTACCGTAAGCATGCGCTAAGCCCCTCAGCGTGCATTATTGAGTGCAGGTGCACCGAGCACCTGTCTTCTGAGTAAATTTTATTTACCGCCAGCTACACGTTTCACGTTGTTTAAAGCGATCGTCTGCTGTTATCGTTACTCGGGTAAAGACCGACCTCAATTCTTTAGACGTAAATTGTTTATACTAGACTTTCCACTGTATTTGTATGGGCGGAAGCGACAAATTATGTCTTCTCAACACGTTTCACCATATAGGTATATTTCAGGAGATATACTTGTAAGGTATAAAATTATAAGTTATTTACCGAACCATTTACGACGGACCGATTGATTTATAATTAAATATAGTCACATTCGTTGATCATCAAACGTACTTTCTCCATTTCAAATATTTGAAAAGCCATAAAAAGAATAAAACGTGTACAACAAATTTAAAAATTAAACGTTCCGTCAATGAAAAGTAATATCGACTTACTTATTACATCCCCATAATCCATAATTAATATTATAAATGCGAAAGTAACTCTGTCTGTCTGTCTCGCTTTCACGTCAAAACTACTGAACCGATTTAAATGAAAATTTGGTACACAGATAGTCTAGAGCCTGAGAAAAGACATAGGATACTTTTTAATTGGAAAAAAGTGTTGTAAAGGGTTGAAAATATCTTTTTCTAAAAATATATATAGTTTTTAAAGAAAGATATTTATTTAAGGACTTTAACGCGAGTGAAGCCGCGGGCGAAAAGATAGTATAAAATAAAAACGCAAGCTTGCGCACCTGAGATTTAAGTGCTGTGCTGTTCTTACTTGGCGTCGGACGCTGGCCGAGTTCTATTTCTGGCTTATTCAATCGCCGATTCCATCCCACAACAATAACAATCATGAAAGTAAGCAGCCGCAAAAGACTCCTTCTGTTATTGTTGTCGCTACATTGTTGTCGACAACATTTTGTTCGTTTCGAGCGCACTGCAAGCGTTTCGGATTCGAAACAATTATGCGACAATCCCAGCCGCCCGTCGAAAAGTCCGACGTTGCCGTTTAAATAAATAAAAGTAAATAAATATTTCAGGCCACATTTATACAATATTACATAGTCCCGAACTAAGTACTTGTACTATGGATACTAGATAACTGATAAACGTACTTAAAATATAAATTATAGATACGCTAGTGGACCGGACAGATGTCTTGTAGACGCGCCTTAATCTGACAACTTAAAAAAAAAATTTAAGTTGAAACGACGAGAAGACACACGAAATTTCACTAAAATCGTTACAGCCGTTTAGGAGTTCAGTGATATACACACGTACAGTATTATATATAAAAAGATAAACACCCAGACACTGGAAAAACACTACGTTCATAACACAATATTTTTCCAGTAGCGGGAATCGAACCCACACCCTGCCACAAGAGATCTTCACTATCCACTACGCCAACCGGTTCGCCGGGATAGGACCGCGTGAGCTCGCGCCGTCTATTACCAGGGGACTTAAGCCCTCCAGACTCCGCATTGCATTCTCCGGGGTCGCACATAACTCCGGCCCGCTGTCCCCGGGACGAGGTGTTAAACGGCACCCGGACAGGCCCGCACCGGGTCAAACTGCCCACCGGTACAGTCGCGATCGTTCCCGGAACCCTACTGCCCCGGGATATGGTCCGCGATTTAAGGGGACGTGTAGGACTGTACTTGTTTCGGCCGCGTTGAAATATTGAGGTCGTAAAGTGTACGCGGGTGTTGATTCGAATGGAGGTTTATTCGTGTAATTCGTGCAATTATCAACAACAAACAAAGTTGAAGTTTAGCTGACGGTGCTATTAACGGTTAACGGGCTGTTAAATGATGGTGGACCGGGTCTTGAAGGCTACCACAACTTTACATCTGTACGTACGCCGAATATATGTTATCTGGTTATAATGTACTCGATACTCCTTCATTACAATGTAACAAATTACATAATGAATATTATTTTAAAGCACGTTTTTTCAAATTCAATGTTTTATCGTACACCAACAGCATTTGTCAATTTTCACAGCGGTCTTTTCGGACATTCTCCGACTTAAGGAATACGTACTTTTTAACCGACTTCAAAAAGGAGGAGGTTTACAATTCGGTTGGTATATTTTTAACTGAATAATACCGTTCGAACTTCCGTCATTCGAAAAAAATTAGGGAATAAAAAAACTAATAATATATAAACTATAATAGAAAATAAATATAATATGTATATAACGTATTCGGCATATATAAAGTGAACATATTCAAACTATACAAAACGTTTTTAATCTCTACACACACTTCAAATTTACATGCTTTGTTTATTCTATCATTCACAGGTACAAATTATCTGTGGGTCATACAAATACTTGCCCCACGTAATCATACCACTACCCGTGTGCTGAATGTGAAATTTTAGCAAATCTTTTATTCGAAGGCAAAATATATTGTTATCAAGACATATTCTTCTTTATATTGCACATGCTTATGGAAATCTGAAGTCGCGAAAGCCAGCATGATCTATCGGCGCTATCGTCGCCGAATATAGGGCTGTCGATTTCGAAAGCATTTAGAAAGGTAATAAATCACACACAATTAGACTGCGTTGATCTTTCATCTAAATACGAACAACCAACGGTATGTAACGTAGAATGTATTGAAGTGATATTAATAGAATTTCAAACTTATTATTCATCTTTACATTATACATATTTTTGTACAGAAAATCAACAAGATAAAAATGGCCAACACCTATGGCATGGTGAATAGAGCCTTTCCTTATAAAATCTAAGTAGTAACACAAACCTAGTGCTACTATAGAAACGTTTTGACATCTAGGCTCTATTAGTTTCGCCACCGCGGGTCATCAAATCGATTCCCACACGGGACGAGTATTAGCGTGACCCACAGATAAGGGATCTAGGTGTTCGTTTTTTTTATGTGAAAAGTTGCCAAGGGAGCAAGTGGTTCACCTGATGTTAAGGGAAAAGTGATGGTTGCAGATGCGTTAATAACCTTTCTAAAATTGGGCTCCGGCTACCTCACTCACCAGACGAAACGCGAAAGTATATTATACTTCCACTTGATACCGTTCTTCTGTGAGGTCGTGGTACTTACCCGGACGAGCCTGCCCTTTCGTGCAACAGCCGAGGCTGCTGCTTAGCCCTACCACCATTAAAGTGTAAAACATCCATAGAATACCCGATAAAACTATCTTCTAAAAGGGACATATTTATACAACACGTACATACGCTGTCCTATAAAACAAAACCCACATTTTTGTACGAAATCAGACGTGTAAAATAAAGACACCTTCTTGCTCAAGTACTAATGGAGCCATAGCATATAGCCAAAACCAAAACCCACAGCCCTGCAAGGGGTAAAGCGTAGAAAATCGCCGGCATCCTTCCTCTGTCCCGTCGATAATTGATAATGGATGACGTCATTACGTCAGCGGATGATTGATATTGTCCCCGCCCCTCCATCCTAGCCTGCTTAGTGTTACAACCCATTCCCCTGCGACCGAGGTTGGCTTTGAAAGAACCACGCACTAAGATATCGGACTAATGGATTGTGGCGGCCACAAGGCGGAGCGGAGGCCGACTTTGAATTGGTTAACGTGCGATTAACTTTCTGACGGCAATGGGGCTGGAGGACGTTTGGCTGGGAGGGCGTTATCGTAACGGCGCGTAACAATCGACTCGGCTAATCGCATAGGGTTTATTAAGAGTAAGTGAGACGTCAGAAAAACTCTGTGGTAGAGCCGAACAGTGGCTGCTGCTGCATTTTGCCCCGGGGAGCAAAACCCTCTCAGAGGCGCGAATCCAAAGTGATTCCCCCTAACGGTTTATTTTTTTATTTTACTTATTGCATTACTAACATAATATACAGACAATTGAGATAAATACAAATTATTTATTATATAATAGTAATAGAAAACTGTTCTTAAATTTATAAGTAACCACATCATGCGTTTTATCCTGTTAGTATAATGAAAAAAAACGATATAAAAATTATATAAGTTAACAGGCGAAAGAAACATTCTGATGACCGTAGAGTTTTTCCAGTGTCTGGGTGTTTATATATGTATTGTGCTTGTTGAATAACAAAAGAAAAGAAGAAGAAAAGAAGCCCAATTTTCAAAAGGTTGTCAACACATCTGTAACCCTCGGGTGTAGCAGATGTCCATGGGCGGCGGTATTCACTTAACATCAGGTGACTGATGTTAAGTGAATACCGCCTGCTCGTTTGGCAACTTTTCGCATAAAAAAACAAAGAAAAGTATGCTTTAGTATCAGTTATCTCGTACCAATAGTAAAAGCGTAGAGAACGTTGTGCCTAGAGAAATTTGTCCTAAAATATTTGTTATTATATTTATTCTCGTTAAACAAACGTGACATCTTAGTGATTGTATTGCATTCAGGCGAACGCTCTACATTTTTAAATCGACTTTTTTTTATTTTCATTATTTTTTTATTTTTTAAACATTTTCTTTATGTTACTTATTTAATCGTTTGCCAATTCACTGCAATAAAAATAAAATAAAACTGCTATAGTACAGTTTTATTTTATTTTTATTGCAAAGAATTGGCATTTAATTAATGTACTAGCAAGAAAGGTAGTGTGTTAATCTCAATAAGTGTGTATATATCAATAAGTCTGTTTACACAAATAGACATACAATCTTTACTGCCAAAAGTTACGTAAAAAAACCCTGAAACTTGATAGTAACCGTGAACGCGCTAAAATCGGTTTAATTTAACCAAATCCTGAACAATCTGCCCTAATTACTTTAAAAAGTATACGCTAAAGCAATATGTAAATGTTTCCATACACTACACTCGGTTAGACTGTAAGACAGTAAAAGCTCTTTTTGCGTTCAAAAATGAACAAAACTCCGGTGCATTAGGACGTAAAAACAACTTAGTCCATCCCGTGTCCATAACGTTTAGAAGTTTTGAATACCGCGGGAAAACAAAAACGAAAAAAGAAATAATAGAATGTCTAAAACAAGTTTACTCACCCAAATTTTTAAATGTACCACCTTCCTATATATCTTTTCTGAGCATACGTTATAACCAATGTTTCCCTGGTTATACAACAATAATAATATATATTTCAGGACATACATTTACACAACTTTACCTAGTCGCAAACTAAAGAAAGTTGTACTATGGTATATAATACCTAAAACATACTTTTCTTTTGTAAATAAATATATATTGTAGATATATAAACACCCAGACACCAGAAAAACACTATGTTGATCACACCATATTTTTCCAGTAGTAGGGATCGAACCCACACCTACTGGCGCAAGAGACAGGCCCACCATCCACTACGCCAATTGGATAGTTACGCGTTAGCTCGCTCCGCCCCTTACCAGGGCGCTCAAGGCTGTATGAAATGATCAAATATGATAGTTCCAAGCCCATCATTGAAAAACATTTTTACAACCCTTATACATGGTTTTAAAAAATGTTTTTCAACTCGAGGGTAGTAATATTTTTTTTGTTTCATCACAAACACGCTACCGTATCGAGCGAACAATCAATCAAGCTGACATTCAGCTATTAAAACATCTACTGGGGGAAATCTCCTCTCAGCTTAAAAATCCCGTTATAAAATTATTACGCGAAAGAATTAATTTCTGCGCTTCGGAAAAGGCGCGTTTATAAAAATTGTTTTTTTTCCGTCCGCCTTTCAAGCTAATGGATTTTCTCGTATTAATATTTAATTGGATTTAGGGTTCTGCATGTTGGGATTAATATTCTTAAAGTAAACAACGTTGTATTTATTTTTAATTGTTTCAACTAAAGCGTACATTGCTCAATTTAAGAAGTTGCCTTATAGATAAAGTTTGCATAAAGATAAAGTTGCTAGTACAATTTTTTATAGTAATAATTACTTTATATTGCTATTTTTTTCGTCTTAAAAAGTTCTAGTTATGTAAGAGTGGCGTAGAGTTATGTAAGGAAGGCGTAGCGTTGGAAGGCCTCCCTCTAGGTGGACCGACGACATCGTAAGAGTCGCGGGCCACCGGTGGATGTAAATAGCAAAGTGTCGTTCGTTGTGTGTGACGGCTGATGATTATTGAAATATTTCCCTCGCCTATGCTCATTATATCAAAGTCCAACCCACTAATATTGCGTTCATTTTTTTTATGTGAATAGTTGCCAAGCGAGCAGACGGTTCACCTAATTTTAAGTGAATACCGCCGCCCATCTGCTAAGCCCGACGGTTCTAGATGCGTTGACAAGCTTTTGAAAATTGGGCTCCGGCCACCTCACTTCCACTTTACGCCGGTCGTATTTTCACATAAAAAAAAAAACCTCACTTAACGGAAAGGCGGATACGTGTAATACTGCTTTATTATTATAGGGCGTACAATATTTTTTGTTTTTTAAAGTTACTTTTCATTATTTTTATATTTAAATTATGTTTTTATGTTCTTTTGTTTTATTGTATTACTTATAATAAATTTTTTATGCTATTTTTTTTCTCTTTTGCTATCTTTTTTGGTAAATAAATATAATCTTTCTTTCTTTCTTTCTTTACCTGTGTCCTATTCGAGCTGCCATGTTCGAGCTAGTTATTCATGCATTACTACTAGTGGTATATATTATAAGCGCTTCGGCTTAGCTACAAGCAGTAGCTTATCCCGTTTGATAGTAAACCTGAAGATGCTTACATTCTAACTTTAAAGACATCCAAG